AGCTTTGATCATTTTCAAAAGCGACAGAGTGGAAATCTGATGAAAGGAACAGGAGGCGAGAAAACAATCGCAAATATGCACATTTAGAACACACCTCTTGGCTTTTCTGGGTACATTCCGGCTTGGATTGGCTTCATATGTCAACGCAAGCGGCATTAGATTTGCAAATATAGTTTTTTCCTTGGGCTGTGTTGATCCGCGCTAATGCTGTGGCGTTCTGTTGCTCTCCTCCCAATAAAAAGGTCGTCTTTAAAGCCATCTGTATCTCGACGAGTGCAGAACTGTAAATGCCCGAAAGAGGCTTAAGTATGTTTTCACAGTAAACATTCACCTGCCGCAATAATATATTGTAAACACAGAACAAACATGAAAAGACAGGTGTTAGCTCGGCGCTATATTGGTAGAATGACATGGAAGAAGTGATAATAAAGAAGCTTGAAATCTCTTTTCTTTAGGCTAAAGTTAGAGTTTATTCTTGCTTCTTCATTGGGCTAAAATTAGGGATTTTACACTTGTTTATTTTGCTAAAGTTGGATATTTTATACTTGCGTCTTTCTTAGTTAGATAGTTTATTGATCCCCCAAAGGAGAAATTCAGGCTCTTATGCTAAAGTGTGTGATTTTACTATTTCAGTTAACGTTCACGTGTCTGAGAGGCCAGAAAACAGTTGTTCACAAGCAATTTCCAAACCGCAAAAAGTGATGAAAAAAGATCTCGTTTAAAAATATACAAGAAATGTTTCCCTTGGAATGTGAAAATAAAGCCACATTTCTTGAAAGAAGACTAATGGCCTTGTCCAATTGGCAAATCTTGATTTTACACAGTCAGAATGTATTCAGATTAAGAATGAAATCACTGGATTCAAGCCTTTATTTCCTCATATTTTATCATTAAAAAAAACAAACATGTTTTTGTACATATATTAGTTTTTTTTCACTTTTATTTAAATCATCACTATCCTGTTTTATTTTCTATATTATTTCTCTGTGCGCACAGAGAGAAATGATATACAATCCTGCCCCCCTCCATCCTCATCCTGGAACTGAAAAACAACAATAGAAATAAATCACAAATCACATGTTTGAAACAATACTACACTGCAAAAAATGATCAAATATGGGTTGAAGAAGTATGTGTCTGTCTGTGTACATGTGTGCGTGTGAGAGAGTGTGTGCGCGTGTACATAATTATGTTTGTGCGTGTGCGAGGGTATGTGGGTGTATGTGCTTTTTATGTACGTATATGTGTGTGTTTATATGTATGTGCTTTTTGTGTATGTATTTATGTGTGCATCTGTATTTTTTTGTGTGTATGTGCGTGTTTTTGTGTACGTGTATATGTATATATATTTGTGTTTGGGTGTGTGTGCATTTGCGTGTATGGGTATGTTTGCGTTGATGTGTGTGTGGGTGTGTTAGTGATGTGTGTGCCTGTGCATATGCTAACACCTCTGAGATTATGTCAAGGATTTTACACAATCCATCTAACAACCTAATGTAATCAAGTATTAAGTTGCAGAGGCACAAGTGGAACAAATCCCACACAAACAAACGCTGAAAGAGCATTTTAGTCGCACAATGATTTTGGTTCAAGAAGCACATTGTGTTTCCAGTTATTGTGTATTGGTGACCTGGTCAGACGGGATCACAGAAGTGTCAAGAAAGAACTAGAAACGGAGATAATAGTACTGTATTCTTTCTATCTGTGTGTGTGTGTGTGTGTGTGTGCGTGCGTGTGTGTGCGTGCGTGTGTGTGTATTGTGTTTGTGTGTGATAGAGTGTGTGTGAGTGTGTGAGAGTTTGTGTGTGTTATGTCGGTAAGACTTTAGATTTGCCATCACAAATTAACAGCTATGTAAATGCCAATTAGTGTACCCTAACCCTAAATTTGAAATGGCCACACATGTAGGTGAAAGCCAGATCCTGTATGACCTCTGAAGCTGAGCAGGACAGGGCCTGGTTAGTGCTGTGATGGGAGACCTCTGGGAACACCAGGTGCGGCAGTGGAGCTGTAGATGTAAAGTACTTTGCCCACATTAGAGTGAGTCTGGTGTGAGGGTGAATGGTTGGTGGTAGTGGGAAGGTCCAATGTAAAATACACGTCGCTGCGCTTCTGTCAGTGTGTCCCAGGGCAGCTGTGGCTACAGTTGTAGTTTATCACCACCTTATTTGGTGTGAAAGAATAGTGACATGTGAAGCGTCTTTGAGAGTCCAAAAAAGCACTATTTAAAACCAATGAAATATTATTATTAACTTGAGCCCTAACCCCAACGATAACCAACATGGGCAAATGCCAGTGATAGTTAGTTACATGTTGAATAAGGCCATGTAGAAAAATAACTAATACATGTTTCATAAATACCAATTAAGAGCTAATTAACCATACACTAATTAGAAAATAAGTCAAAAATTGCTCAAATTTGTCAAGATTCACATTTTGACTGCCTTAAAACAAGTTTTTTCAATGGGACAAGGAAAGTGATCTTGTTGTAATTAGAGCCAAGAATTATCTCTCTTGAAATGAGAAAATAAAGCAACAGTTCTTGAAATTAGACAAAATGGCTTTCTCCTATTGGAAAATCTTGTTTCAAGACAGTCAGAATGTGCTCAAATTAGGATAAAAACCACTCGATTCTCGCAACTGCCTGATATTATATCAATTCTAGCAGCGTATCGGAGCCTATTACTGCCTGACACCGCACCTTTTGAGAAAGTGTTCGGAGAAGTGCAGGTTTTCTATGACAGCTAGAGACTATAAATGTAAAAATATATTTCCAGTCTTTGAAGAGGCTCATTAATGAAGTGGTGTCAGTCTTTGCCGTATCATAGCAGGTTCTTGTCAACAATATGTCAACCTTTAGAGGAGTTTTAAGGTCCCATATTACACTTTTTGACTTTTCTCTGCTTTAAACACCTTCACAGTGCTATTTGTTCTTCATACACATGTCCTTTTTTCATTGATTCCCTCAAACTTTAGTTAGAGAGCTTCCTTGTCCAGTGTGAATCAGCGCACAGCCTTTGCCACTGTGTCCGCTTCTAGGCCGTTTTTCTGATATTGACATCGGCTAAAAGTGTTAGCATCATGTGAAATTGAGAGATGTGTTTTTGGGTGTAAATGACGAAGAAAAAAAAGAATCCGCAAGTTTAGCTGGACATTCTATTCATGGGGATCTGCCTTTGCGATCTGTGAAAAAACTGCGTTTCTGCGAGACACTTCTCCAAAGACTACTTGTTTATGATGAAACTGGACTTACTCATAAGAAAGTAACAGAAAGAAACTAACGTAAAGAGACTAACGTAAGGAAACTAACGTAAAGAATAGATCCCAAGCGTTTGCAAAGAGGTGACCTCAGCTCTATGAAAGAAATGGCTATAATTTTATTTTTAATTTAATTTTATATTAATATAAGTTTTGAGTGTTGTCTGCTGTATTACCCAAATTATTATTACACATGTGCTTAGGATGGACTGTGAAAAATGTAAGTAGAAACATGTAAGATTTCCATGTCAAGTCATCATTAAATGGCCCTAAACTGTCAAAAGGCATTAAAAAATCATGTTATTTTTAAATACTTCTACAACTTAGAACAATAGGTCAGCCGAGATATTTTAATTTCAAAATTAGTTTTACAGCCCCTAAATCTTGTTTTCATTTTGATGTCCCGCCCTCCATCGTTTCACCAATCAGAAAGTCCGTGATCCCTGTTGTCAGAACTCACCGCGTCGAGCTAATCTCACTGGTACCATCTGGCCGCAGGTCCGAAAAAGGTCTCGTTTGTGATTCTCAAATTATTAATGACAACAACAAAAATACAGGATTTCTATCTTTCTGAAAATCTGTTGGTTATAGATTTGTTGTTGACAAAACTCTTTATTCAGATATTATGGTCCCTCCCAGCTGGATTTGGCTGCATATCTGGCAACCATAGTCAGGGAGAGTATACCACTTTTGGGCAGATTTTTACTGCTCCTTTAAGAAAAGGTTTAAAGATTGACTGAAAGGTGCGGATGTTTCTCTTGAGCTGGATATTTTAACCAATTTGATGTATTTTCATAATGTCGTTGTTTGTGCTTGTGTATGTATGTTCTTTGTTATCAAGGTCTCCCTCGTAAAAGAGATTTTATCTCAAGGGACTTCCTGGTTAAATAAAGGTAAAATACAAACAAACAAAAAAAGTGACTTTTAAGACCATAAAGATAGTTTTCTACTGTCTCTCTGCTGTCACATGCAGAGGGGTAAGTTTCTATTAAACTTTCTGCTTTCTTGTGTGAATATATAAGTGCCATTCATCACAATTATAGATCGCACTTCCTGACAGTTCATCTAATGCGAACACGGCGTCTCTCTGAGTGTATTAGAACACTGTACGTTTTGGCTCCATCATCGAAACAGATCATTGGTCCTCCCTGCTGCTGCAAGTATTCAAAGTGCACTGCAAAAATGATAAAATATGAGTTACTAAATGCTTGAATCGAGAGGTTTATCTTAAATTGAGAACATTTTGACAGTGTTAAGGCAGTCAGAATGTGCTCAAATAAGATACATTTTGCCAAATTAGAGCACTTTTTGACTTATTTGTTATTACTTTTTGAAGTAAATGGTTGATTCAAGCATTTATTACCTCATACTTTTTCATGTTTTGCTGTGTTGAATTTGCCAACACAGATCAGAGAATCAAGCAGTCGAAACACAAGATACAATAATAAAAAAACACTATTGGTTCATGAGGAGCATATGACCAATGTTCATAAAGGTTGATAAATAATGAGCTATTGCATAAATGGTTTTAAGTCACACAGATGCAGGTGTTTAATGCATAAACCATGACCCACAAGCAGTATTTAATTCAAAACCTAATGCAGAAGCAGAGCTTGGCTTGTTTCTCTGTGGCTCAGTGAGTGGCAACCCTCTTCTCATTTGACCTGGTCCCCGGGGTCCGCTGAATATGGGCAGCTCTAAGTAGAAAAGAGTGTTATGTGTGGTTAAATGGGAGAGAAGGGATGCTGCAGAGAGCGGCAATCGGCTTTAGCAGCTCGGACCGCCGTCGTGTGGTGTATAAGGTAATATTTTAATGAACCGTGGTTAAGGCCCCCTGTCCCCGCTGCGTCAAGTCTGTTCTAGTGTCGGCAGAATAAGCTGTCTGTGGGAGCTCTCTCTCTCTCTCTCTCTCTCTGAGCTCCGTCTGTGGGAGCTCTCTCTCTCTCTCTGAGCTCCGTCTGTGGGAGCTCTCTCTCTCTCTCTGAGCTCCGTCTGTGGAAGCTCTCTCTCGCGTTCTGAGCTCCGTCTGTGGGCGCTCTCTCTCTCGTTCTCTCTCTCTCTCTCTCTCTCTCTCTGAGCTCTCTCCAAATGCCATAATTTAAATAATGTAAAAGATAATACAGTGGTTTTCTGGACACTCTAAGACGCTTCACATGTCATTATTTCATCTTTAACGTCTTTAAGGCGGTGCAGTGGTCCGAGCTTGTGCTTCACAAAGGTCCTGGGTTCAATTCCACCCTTTAGCCTTTTTGTGTGGAGTTTGCATGTTCTCCCCTCGTCTGTGTCGGTTTCCTCCAGGTGTTTCGGTTAAAATCATGTATAATAGGTCTGAATGTGATGAGTGAGTCAATAAAGGCCTTTGATGCTTTGGGTGACCCTGGCCTGTATTAAAATAGGTTCTTGCCTAAGGACACAATATTCATATTTTTAAGGTCCCTGAACAAAATTAGTTCTGATAAAGGGTTAGAGACGATTAGATGTTATTGTTGAAAAAGACTTTCAACAATAAAATCATTGTCAAAAATATGCATTATTTATTATAAATATATGTATGTAAATTGCTGACATTACCTTTAATGCAAAAACTAAACCTCATCTCGACCAAATTAGACAAATATAGCTCTGGCTCTCTCAAGATTAAGATCAAGATCAAGATTATTCGTCCCACTGTGGGGAAATTTCAGTGTTGCATCACCAGTGACAGAACAGTAGGAATGAAGAGCACACAGCACAAGATAAATGAACAACAACTCTATAATAAAATAGAACGATCTCTAACCTTAGCCTAATAAAGAAGCAGGTATAAAATATGTAGTTTTAACATGATAAAGAAGCAAGTGTAAAATCTCTTGCCTCAGCATAGTAATGAAGCAGAAATTTAGTTTTATCAAATTTAGCCACATGTTAAATGAATTTGACAAATATGTAAAGTCATGATCCTCTAACAGAACTGTCTTGTTGTGTTTTTGTAAGCGCCGAGTGACTGATGTCCTTCTTTTTGGTCTGAGATATAAATGTCAATTTGCGGATTTCAGTACAAAGCTGAAGAAAAAAACTTCAAGTGTCGGAGGTAAAGTGATAACGCAGCACATATCTCCTGACGTGGACATTAGAATAAGTGCTGTGCTGTTGTTTCACTTCTGTTCAACCTTGGGCCAGTAGTTCAGCTTCTCAACGCTCATTATTCACCGGTTCATACACACACACACAACACACACACACGCACGCACACACACACGCACACACACACACGCACACACACACACACAAACACACGCAGGTTTTACTCAATCAATTTTACTCAATCAAGCCCTTGTAATGATAGTAATTGTGTCACATGTGTTGTTTCACGATGTGTATGTATATGTGTGTGTGTGTGTGTCTAAAACCAGATATGGGGACTCATGGGTCTAATTTGGAATCAACTAAGTCGCTATCAGAGACTTACAACTTTGGCTCCATCATACACACACATGCGTACTCACACACACACACACACACGCACGCACGCACGCACGCACACACGCACACACATGCATACACAATTGGACTTTCAAACTGAATCCTATCATAAAAAGCTTTTCATGTCCACGCACTGAGATACACATTGTTAAAGATTTCTATTTGCTTCTTCTTCGTATGGTGAGCATAGATAGATAGATACATAGATAGATAGATAGATAGACCAGGGTTTCTCAAACTGGGGTACGCGTACCCCTAGTGGTACGCGGGAGCCAGCAGCAAAGTCCAGATATGGTCACAGCGCACGCCGGACTAAACAGACGCTCTGTAGATGTAACCACACAAAAACACACAAACGCGTGCATAAACGCACATACATGCACGCCCAAATACACAAAGACACACAGCAGTATTCTGTTGCACTTATACTATAAGTATAAGTATTCACTTTGATTTATTGTCATGTATAGTGTTTATCATTGTAATTTTGTTATTCTTTGATTTACTCTTATTGACATAAACATAGTGCCACCTAATGGATGAATACTGGCCATTCTATCTGGCATAGTTTGTCATGGGCTCTACTTTCAATATGTACATTTTGACATTTTTTGGATGAGTACATTTTGAAATTTTTGAGCAACACTTTGTGGATGTGTGTGTGCCATAAAACTTATTATTTTACATTTAAAACACTTTCTCAAAACGTGTTGCTGTTTTCTAACATGTTTGAGGAGATGCTAAAGTTAAACTAAATAGTTTTACAATCACTTTTCTGCAGTTCGTCTGTTTTCACAAAAACCTCATTTTCTAATTTTTTTGTCTAAGACTGGTGCTTTTTGTCACACTCTCCTCTTTTCGACTGGAGATGACAGGAGAACGAAACAAACTAAGAACAAACTTCTTTTTGCTGCTGAAAGTAGACAGTCCTGTCTTTCAGACTCTGGTTTCATATTTTTCATAGCACACAATATTCTGTGAGTCTTAAAAATCAGTGAAGTCATCAAAAAATGGCTGGCAGTCAATGAGAACCTCTTTTTCGTGTACAAAAATTACATAAAATTACAGATGATAAAACAGTCACATACAGATGATAAAATAGTCACATACAGATTATACAACAGTAACACACAATTTCATAAAAATACGGATTATAAAAACAGTTACATTTCACTGAAGATGTCTCAATCTGGATCTAAAAGCATTCAAGGAAATAAGATCAGATCATTTCTAGTCTTTTTGCAACACGTTCCATGTAGAAGGAGCAGTTTTTTTCCCAGTTCTGTGCAAAAGGAACAGAGAGCAACAAACGATCATTTGATCCAAACCATAGGAACATGTCTCTGTGAGTAAACGACAGATGTAAGAGGGCAGCAGAGCAAGCCTTAGAAACTAAAGTGCACCAGAGTCCAAACCTTCTGTGGACAAAGATCCCACTCCAGAATATCACTCACAGTGAGGCTTTGCAGTTCGCAATGAATGAAACATTTAAAACCATTTTTTTCCTATATTTAAGCGCAGTCTTACTGTTGAAACTGTGTAAAATATTACATTAAATATACTTCTTTAGGAATGAAACCTCTGCCTTGTTATTGATGAATACTTCGGCTTACTACGCTACTGTGTGGTGTGGTCATTTGTGGTGGTACTTGGAGAGGCAAGTATTTTCTGAGGGGGTACTTGGTGTGAAAAGTTTGAGAACCACTGAGATAGACCATAGGTAGAGAGATAGTTAAATAGTTAGATAGATAGATAGATAGATACATAGATAGATACATAGATAGATAGATAGATAGACCATAGGTAGAGAGATAGTTAAATAGTTATGTGGTAAAACGGCTTCTGAGGTCAGTGCTGAGGGTGCGCCTGCTTTCCCACGGGCCGCCCCGGTGGGCTTTATAAGCGCTCCTCCCCTCATTTGCCCCTCCTTGCCCTCACGCCTCTGCAGCTGTGAGTTTGTCCCAGCTCCACGCATTCCAGTGCTGCTGTCTGGTTCCTCTAGGCACCCAAAAACCTCTGCGCGCCAGGTAAACCACTGCTTCCAATACAACATGTAGAATGCACATTCACAAAACGCAATCTTTTCCCAGCTCCTGTGTTTGCCCTGCGTCTGCACTCTCGTGCGACAGTGGCCTCTGTAGCGTGCCTTCGACTGCAGCGACAGGTATAATCATGCAGGCTTCGGTTCATTCATAAATTCGCACAGTTTTGTAATGTAATCCACGCTTTGTAGTCACGCTGCTTGACCCAAGCCTACGGGCTGCGCTGTCCTATGCGCTGTGGCGTGTACCTAATTATTAAAGGTAATTATTTAATAGCAAAATTCATTCATGCATAGTTCTAATCTTAACTCGGGACCTTTTTATCTAGCTGGTGGTGATCAGCATTACGCACCACAAGTGGCGCGGGTTTGGTCCGCCCATTCATAGTGGCTGCTCTGAGCGCAGCCTCCTGTTTGGCCTAAAGCTGTGGACCACTCGTTCTTGGGGCTCTAATTGGTAGGCTTATCTATTTAGATTTATTTTGTCCCCTTTTTGTTATTTATTTAGTTAGGGTTATTTTAGGTAATATTCTAAATTCATTCTTTTATAGGTGCGTTCCAGCGGCACTGGCACACGCCCCCTGCTGCTCTGTTTTGCCCTGGCTCCTGCTTTATTTTGCCTTGATTCCTGCTGCTTTGGCTTGGCTTCAGCTGCTTTATCTGCTGCTTGGCTTCGCAGCTTCGTATCGCTATCGCACTTTGTTTCGCTGCTCTGCCTTGTGACTGTTTCACCCCACTGTTTTGCTGCTCCATGTCCTTCGCAGCTGTGGACGCCTGCGTCTAGCACTCACGCACTTTAACGAGTGCTGCGTCCCGGTTCTGGGGCGTATACTTGTGGGAATGTGCAATAACAGTAAGAGTGAGTGAGTGTGCGAACGAGTGAGAGAGTATAGCATTTAGTTCTTATCCATTTAAATTAAATAAAAAGACTGAACTGTATTGACCACACTGTAAAATAAACCTGTCAAACTTGGAACCTGGTGCATTCTAATCTTTTAATACTTACCTGTGTGTCCTTAATTTATAGTACAGTACTCTTCCGGTGAAATTCCGGTCGTGGCGTTGCTTGGTTTATTTCAATACTTACATATTTTAACCAGTTATGATTAATTAATGTAACTTATTTTCTAAATCATATTACCACCACCCCTAGGCTGCCACAGATTTGGCTTATTGCTGGCAGGATATTGAATAAACAGATACCCAGGTTCCAGTTATGTTGTGAAAAATGTTTTGAAATGTCAGTTAAAGTTTTGTGAAAAATAGTCACTGCTAAAGTCAATCGAACAGTACCAGTTGCCTATGCTATTTGCATGTTTGTGTGGTTTGCACTTTGATTTGCTGTGTACATTTGATTTTGATGTATATTTTCTGTTTGAAGCTAAGGTATTGTGACCACTGGAATAATTGCTGGTGCAGGTGTACTGTTTCACTCACAACCATATTCAAAAACTGAATTTCATGCATTGTATGTAGAGCTACTTGTGTAGTGGCTTTCTTTTTGTGAACAGGTCACACATTCTCAACCATTTTGTTTGTTTTTCAGTCTGGGGCAAAGCAGCAGCAGCAGTTGTTGGCGTGTGGCGGCGGAGTTTGTAGATCGTATTTGTAAAAATTTTTCCAGACTCATTTTTTTTGGCATTTGCGCGTGTAGAATAATGGAGGAAGAACTGCAGAGACTGAGGGACAAAGTGGCCCACTTGACGACGGAGAACGTGAGGCTGCGCTCAGACCAGGCTCAACCATCTGGTGCTGGGACCGCTACTGCGCCTGCACTGGATAGGTTTGTTTATGTTCCACGAGATCGGAAATGTCCCATGTTCCGAGGACACACTGGGCTTAGCCTTAATGATTGGATTGAAGAAGCGGAAGCCTGCATGAGGTCACGACACCTATCGCAACCAGTTGATAAAGCATTCTTCTTATACGACCATTTAGAAGGCGAAGCACGACATGAGCTGAAATATCGTAGCAGTGCAGACAGAGACGACCCAAATAAAATACTTTCTATTCTTAAGGATTTATATGGCTGCTCCGATTCTTATGTGGCTCTTCAGGAAGCCTTCTTCTCACGTAAACAACAGGAGGGAGAGACCCTTTTAGAGTTCTCGCTAGCCTTATTAAACCTTATGGACAAAGTCAAAGCGCGTGCACCTAATGCTATGCCGAATTCTGAGAGTTTGATGCGTGACCAGTTTATAGAGTATGTCTGTGATGGAGCATTGCGCCGTGTGTTGAAGCAACACGTTCGTCAAAATCCAAACGCAACCTTGATAGAGGTCAGAGGGGAGGCATTGAGGTGGGAGCGCGAGGGTATGCCGGCTGGCGCCCGTGGGCGAAGCAACTCCGTGCCTTCAGCATTTGGCCTCCAGTATGCTGTGCACAGTGGACCCCCAAGTGTGCCCCATCCACTTTGCCCAGAGGTAAGTGACATGAAAGAACTCCTAAAGCGGCAGCAGGACCAGCTTGATAAGCTCACTCGGAGCATCGCACTTCTCCAATCAGAGCGCCAGAGAGGTCTGTCTCCTCGTCCTGGACCTACAATCTGTCACAGGTGTCAACGGCCAGGTCATATAGCCAGGCATTGCGACGGGCAGCGTGCCCCCGATTGGCAGCAACATTCTTCTCGTCCGTCTCGTGGTAACGTACAACAGCAGTCGGAAAACTAGTTCCCCCCGGGTCTAGGAGCCACCGCCCGGGTGGGGCCTCTTTTGGCTCAGCAAAAGTTGCAAGCCGTTTGGTTGATGCTCCCAAACTGATAGCGTCTTGCCCGCACATAAAAGTGGATATGGCCGGAATTTCGGTGCCTTGTTTGGTTGACACTGGCTCTATGGTGTCAACAATCACAGAGGGTTTCTTCAGAGAACACTTTGAGTCCCGAGGAGTGGAGCGGTTGCAAGCCTGTAATTGGCTGCAGCTACGAGCAGCCAACGGGCTGGCTATCCCCTATGTAGGGTACCTCGAACTCAGTGTTGTGCTCTGTGGTAAGTCAATACCCCGCTGTGGTGTGTTGGTCGTAAGGGACCCACCAGGTATGCCAGTTCAGGTCCCCGGCGTTTTGGGGATGAACGTGATCGGAAAGTGCTATCAGGAACTTTTTGGACAGCATGGGTCGGCACTGTTCAACACAGCTCCTGTGGCGGCGTCCCCTACCTACTTGGTAGACGCCCTCCAAAAGTGCCATGTAGCTCACCAGGTGCCAGTCAATGCACGCCCTGGGAGAGTTAGAGTCCGAGGGAAGCAGGTTGTGCGCGTTCCTCCGGGCAGCCTGAAGGTCGTGCCCGCTACTTGTTCCGAAAGTACAGTGGCCACCCAGTGCTTTTTGAACCCGTGGAGTCGGGATTGCCCTCCGGTTTGTTGGCCTCACCATCGTTGGTTGAAGTCATTAGAGGCACTGCTTATGTTCCAGTTGTTAATGTAGGGACCTGCGACGTACTGCTGTACCCTCGCACCGTCGTTGGAACGCTTAATAATGTAAATGTGGTTAGTTTGCCGGCAGGTGTGACTGAGGTGCCTACCGCTATGGCGACCATCTCAGCACAGGCCACTGCCACTTCAGCAACGGACCCAATCGAACGGGTGGATTTGTCCCTGCTGTCAACAGAGGAGCAGGAACAGGTGCGAACACTCTTGCGGAGGTATGACACTGTGTTTGCAGCCCATGAGCAGGACTTGGGTTGTACCAACCTGGTGGAGCACGACATCCCACTTCTCGATGACGCGCCTATAAGGCAGCGCTATCGCCGGATCCCACCATCAGACTACGAGCTTGTGAAGGAGCACATCCGTAAGCTCTTGGAGGCTGAGGTGATTAGGGAGAGCTCGAGTCCTTATGCCTCTCCCATAGTGCTCGTCCGGAAGAAGGACAGCAGCCTCAGACTCTGCGTCGACTATCGTCGGTTGAACGGCAAGACCCGAAAGGATGCGTTTCCACTCCCCCGTATCGAGGAGTCACTCGACGCCCTGACAGGTGCCAAGTGGTTCTCCACCATGGATTTGGCCAGCGGCTATAATCAGGTACCTGTCAGGGAGAGCGATCGGCACAAAACTGCGTTTTGTACGCCATTCGGGTTATTTGAGTGGAATCGCATGCCTTTCGGGCTCTGCAATGCCCCCAGCACCTTCCAGCGGCTAATGCAGCGCATTTTTGGGGACCAACAATGCCAGTCTCTCCTCTTGTACTTGGATGACATTGTGGTGTTTTCTTCTACAGTCGCGGAGCATTTGGAGAGGCTGGCGGTGGTGCTGGGTAGGCTGCAGAACGAGGGTCTGAAGGCCAAGCTGGGCAAGTGCAGCTTCTTCCGGACGGAGGTGAGCTACTTGGGTCATATCATCTCTGACCAGGGAGTAGCCACCGACCCGAGCAAGATCGAGGTAGTGGCTAGCTGGCCTACACCAAACACTGCCACCGAGCTTAGATCCTTTCTTGGGTTTGCTAGTTACTACCGGCGATTTGTGGAGGGCTTCGCAAAGTTGGCTGCCCCCTTACATCGCAGAGTGGCCGAACTTACAGGGAAGCCAACTCGGAAGAAAGTCTCCCCTAATGCTGCTGGGCCATGGACTGAGGAGTGCCAACAGAGCTTTGATGCTCTTAAAGCAAAGCTCACCTCGGCCCCGGTTCTAGCATATGCAGACTTCTCCCTTCCCTTCATATTGGAAGTAGACGCCAGCCATAATGGCCTAGGCGCAGTCTTGTCTCAAGAACAGGAGGGGGTGGTAAGGCCCATTGCATACGCCAGCCGTGGCCTTAGACCCCCTGAGCGAAACATGTCGAATTACAGCTCGATGAAACTGGAGCTCTTGGGGCTTAAGTGGGCACTCACTGAGAAGTTCAGGGAGTACCTGCTGGGACAGAAATGCCTGGTTTACACTGACAACAACCCGTTGAGCCATTTGTCATCTGCAAAACTAGGTGCTGTGGAGCAGCGTTGGGCCGCTCAGCTTGCCTCCTTCGACTTCGAGCTGAAGTATCGTTCTGGGAAGAGCAATCGCAATGCTGATGCCCTATCCAGGCAGCCCTGGGATTTGGAGGTGCAGACTCTTCCTGCCCAAGGTACTCCCTTGCCTCAGCCACTGCAGCAAATGCTGCAGAACCAACAAGGGCAGGCTTCACAATCTGTGATGGCAGTATTTCCCCATTATGCCCCAGCTGACCTCCATACTCTACAACTGGGGGATCCAGTCATCCAGGAGGTAGCAGTCTTTTGGCGGAAAGATCAGCGCCCCACCCAGGTAGAGCGACAGCAGCTCTCGGAACTAGCCCTTGTCCTTCTAGGACAATGGGAGAGGTTGGTTGAGGTAGACGACCTCCTGTACCGACAGATGTTTCGGTCAGATGGTGGTGGGGCAGTATACCAGCTGCTCTTGCCCCGAGCTTTGGTCAAGGATGTCCTCACCAAGGTACACCAGGAGCACGGACACCAAGGGGTTGACCGGACTCTAGCCCTTTTGCGCTCTCGCTGCTACTGGCCAGGTATGTCCCGGGAGGTGGCGCAGTGGTGCCAAGCTTGCGAGCGATGCCAATTTGCTAAAAATAACCAGCCAGCTGCTCGCAGCTACATGGGTCACCTCCTGGCATCAAAGCCGAACGAAATTGTGGCAATCGATTTCACCCTGCTTGAACCCACATCGGCAGGTGTAGAGAATGTCCTGGTGATGACGGACGTCTTCAGTAAATACACCTTGGCTGTCCCCACCAGGGACCAACGTGCGTCCACTGTAGCACAGGTCCTGATCTCGGAGTGGTTTGCGAAGCTTGGTGTCCCAGCTCGTATCCACTCAGATCAGGGCCGCAACTTTGAGAGCGCTTTGATACAACAGCTTTGCTGCTTGTATGGGGTGACCAAATCGCGAACCACCCCATATCATCCAGCAGGTAACGGGCAGTGCGAAAGGTTCAACCGCACACTGCACAATCTGCTTCGCACGTTACCTACTTCGCGGAAGCGGGACTGGAGTTCCTGTCTCCCTGAGGTGTTGTTCGCTTATAACACGACACCTCATCAGTCGACCGGGGAATCTCCGTATTTCCTTATGTTTGGTCAGGAGCCCCGTCTTCCTGTTGACTTCCTTCTGGGCCACGTGCAGGAACCACTGGCGGGAAGTGTAACGGAATGGGTAGCGGAGCATCAAGCCCGGCTACACCTTGCCTTTGATGGGGCGCAAGCCCGGTTAAAGGTTGCAGCAGCTCGCCGAAAAGCCAACCATGACAGGCTGGTGCGAGTCACCCCGCTCCAAGAGGGTCAGCTTGTGCTTTTGCGCAATTACCACATAAGGGGTCGCCAGAAGACTCAGGACCTTTGGTGTCCAGTCACCTACCAGGTTATACGGGTACCAGAAGGGGAAGGTTCTGTGTATACAGTGGCCCCGGTTGATGACCCGAGTAAGATCAGGAGAGTACATCGTTCCTTGCTTAAAGCTTTGGTTTCTCTTGGCAACCCTGGCATGGTCGCGGAAGACCCACCAAGGGAGCAGTTCACCCCACGCGAGGAGTGGTCTCCGGATTCTTATGATGGCAATGTGTTCGTTATACCAGAGTCTTTGGGGCGCTCCCCTCCTGCCTCCAGGGCCTCAGGGCTTTCTTCTGCTCACCGGAGCCCCTCCCAAACTCCA